ACTTGGAAGAAACAGAACTCTCAAAAACTACTGATGGAAGCATAAAATGGTACAACTACCTTAGAAAAAAGTTTGTCCATTTTTTAAAAAGTTAAACATACACCTGCAATATGATCCAGCCATTCCACCCCCATGTAATTACCCCAGGAAAATAAAAGCTTATGTCTATACAAACAATTGTACATAAATGCTCAAAGCAACTTTATTTGTAATAGACAAAAACTGAAAACAATCCAAAAGGCCATCAACAGGTAAATGAGTAACAAACTGATATGTCTGCATAATGGAACATTACATATAGTACTCGGCAATAAAAAGAAATAAACTACTGATAAATGCAAGATAATTATACTGAATGAAAGACGACAAACTGAAAAAGAGAAGTACATACTGTAAGATCCCATTTATATAAAAATCTAGAAAATACAAATTAATCTATAAAGGCATAAAGCAGGTCAGTGGTTATCTGAGGATGGGGACAGCAGAGAGGTGGCAGGCATTACCTACGTGGTATAAGGAAACTTGTGAGTGATGGGTACATTCATTACCTTGATTTTGGTGATAATTCTACAGGCGTATATGTTTGTTCAAACATATCAAACTGTACACTTTACATATGGGAAGTTTATCGATGTCAATTTTACCTCCATAAGCTGCATTTAAAACTTGCAAGGAGAAAGAAGAGGGAAAGGAGAAGAGAGGTGGAAGTAAGGATAAAAAAGGGGGAGATAACTCGCTTCAGCCAGCCTCACTGCCTTCTATAATCTGATGAACTTCTACATTTAGAAGTTACCCAAGAACAGTGCTTTCTGCACTAGAATTTATTGCCCAACCTCAAAAGATGTTTTAAGAGTTTACCTGCTATGAAATTCTCAAATTTTATGTATCAGAAAAATTTTTAAGTGATACTAGGTTTCAGCACTGTTAAGATAAATGCTAGGTCTTTTTTGTAAAATATAGGCTAGCAGTTACTTCCATTATTCAATTAATATCAAGCTCTTTTTTCCACCTACCTACAAAGCCTGAAAATGACTCTTAGGAACATGTGCAATTGAGTGACCTAATAACTTATCTAAACCAAATCCAAGCTGTACTTTGGACTTTTTTTTGAGTTTGGTTCCATCCTAGAAAGAACTATGCATGGTTGAAGACAATGGCAACACAGAAGTTACCAACTTCAGTATTAAGTATTATTCACTGCTCTGAATAAGTGATGGAACTTTCAGAAGCTCAATATTACCCAACAGCAAGATTAATCTCTAAACAGTGGAACTACCATTTGATCCAGCAATCCTACTACTGGGTATCTACCCAAAGAAAAATAAATCATTATATCGAAAAGATATCTGCACTGGTATGCTTATTGCAGCACTATGTAAAATAGCAAAGTCATGCAATCAACCTAAATGTCCACATTTTTTAAAATGTGACATACATACACAATAGAATACTGACAGCCATTAAAAAAAGAATGAAATCATGGTTTGTTTTTTTTTTTTTTTGGTGGCAACACGGATACACTGGAGGCCATTCTTAGTGAAACCACCTAGAAACAGAAAGACAAATACCACATGTTCTCGCTTATAAATGGGAGCTAAATCATGTGCACGCATGGACAGAATATGGAACTGGAGACCTTGGAGACACAGAAGAGAGGGAGGAGTTGAAAGGGGTGGATGATCGAAAATTACTTGATGGGCACAATTTACATTGTTTGCGTGACAGATACACTAAAAACCCAAACTGTACCACTGCTCAATATATCCATATAAAAAAACTGCACTTGTATCCCTTAAATTTAAATAACATTTAAATTAAAATAAATAAACAGTTGCTGCAAGAATGAGAAAAGGAACATCTCATAAGCTCCTCGATGGATGGCTGACTGAACCAAACCAAGAGCTGAAGTCCAGTGGTTGTATAAGTTAGGCGAAATGAAATCCCTGGAGAGTGTCTCACAGTAACAGGAATCGAAAGCACTGTCTCTCTCACAGTGCTAGTAAGGTAAGGTAAAAAGTCCTGACTACATACATTCATTTCTACTATTTCCTTTCATGAACTCAGATTTTTTTTTGTCTATTATTGGAACTGAAGGTCATGTCACCAAAAAAGATACATGTAACTCATCAACTGCAAAAGAAAAATGTTTCTTTAAACTCTTATTAAATCTCTTTTATATATATGTGTGTATATATATATACACACACACACACACACACACACACACTCTATTATTATTTTATTTTTGAGATGCAGTCTCGCTCTCTTGCCCAGACTGGAGTGCAGTGGCGAGATCTTGGCTCACTGCAACCTCCACCTCCCAGGTTCAAGTGATTCTTCTGCCTCAGCCTCCCGAGTAGCTGGGACTACAGGCATGCACCACCACGCCTGCTAATTTTTGTATTTTTAATAGAGACAGGGTGTCACCATATTGGCCAGGCTGGTCTCGGGCTCCTGACTTCGTGATCCACCAACCTTGGCCTCCCAAAGTGCTGGGATTACAGGCTTAAGCCACCGTGCCTGGCCATTTTAATATTTTTAACCTTTGTAACTTGGGGAAATACACTTCTACTATTCACTCTTTAAAGGTAAATAATAAAAGTAACACTTTTCTTGTAAAACTACACTTTTATTGTAAAACTATTGAAAAACTATATTTTTATTGTAAAACATACTATTGTAAAAGTTGTTACTTTCTGCTTTCTTAAAACTTAATCTTTTATTATTCAGAAAGTACCTATTACAGATTGCATTCTAATTTTGGGGGAAAGTTCATGTTTCATCTACTTAGGCATTCCGGGTCTTTGTACAGCTTAACTGTGTAGTTCCTAAGCCTTCAACTTATCTCGTATCTTATCATATCAAAAATCTTATTTAAAAAGCATATATATCTATATCTATATATATATCTTCATCTCTGGACCACTTGTAATAAAATAGAAGGAACAGCGAGATTTCTGTCTCTGGAATCCCATCTCTGCCACTCGTTGGCTGTGTAACTTTTGTCAAATACACTAGATTTCATTTTCCTATCTGAAAAAAGGGGATAATACCACCAAATCCCGAAGATTATTGGGAAGAAAATATATGTGAAAACTACAAAGCATTCAACAGATGTTAGTGTTTACAGCTGCATATGTCAACTCCCTTCAACCCTTCTGAGACATAAAACCAAATGTGACTCAGCTATCCATGACAACAAAACCATTAGAATATTGCTCAGACACTACTCCAAGCTTCTGTGCTTTGTTTCCACACCTTTGTCAATCACGAATACGACTTACTCGGCTTTCTTTTCATATAGTCAGACTCCCACACTATCTAGCCCGAGGCTAGGTATGTAAATGGTACTTGAATGATTAAATAAATGAACGAGTGAAATAAATTGGTATATTCCAGCACTATGGAGGTGATTTAGGGTTCAGGTAGAGCTGGGGAAAGTCTATAGTGAAAATGACTACAGCACTGAAAAAACTAACCACAGAATCTAGTTAGGAGAGAATATCTAATTTAGTCCCTAATTAATTATTGCTCTGCATATGGTGTGATGATTCAATGATTGTGAAGAAAAGTTCACAGTTTGGGAATAAAGGGAGGAGGAGATGGTAAGATTCTTGTGCAACATGAAGAAAGTTCCAAACATTTAGAATAACATTACATAATATTTAGGTCCAAGTTATAGTCATGCACATGAATACATGACTGTATACTGATGTAATGGAATCTGATGTGAAATGATGGAAGAAAATTAATAAATTCAGTATATCTGGTCATAAAAATGAATATTCTCATCATTAAAAAGTAAAAAGACAGGAATAGAAAGAAACTACATGAGTCTAGAACTAACAATTAGTGATTCAACAAAGAAATGGGAATCTCTCATGAAGTAGAATGTGTTGTTACTAGTTACCTAGTAAGAGTACAGAAAAACAAATAAAAATTTCAGAATTAGGTTTAGAATTAACTAACCTCTAACATCTTTTCCAACTGTAAGATTTCATATATTTCTATTCAGTGCTACATTCAGCCGTTTCAAAAATATATATTAATTTTAAAGCCAATAACAATACAAACCCCAAGGGTACACTCTATAATCCCATCCCAAAAAGAAGAGAGTAGGAGGGTTTTTCTTACCAGTTTATAACAACCCAGCTATTCATACTAACATTTGCAAAATGAGAAAGGTACTTTTTTAAAACAGTATTTGAAATGCTTAGCAGTTCAGTTCAAGTCCTACTAAGTATCACAATTTTTGATGGCAGTCTAGGACACCATAATGTATTGCTTCATTTACAGCTCCAGTTCTACTCCTAGCCCAAACTCACTTCCACATTTTAGGCAGCTGGATGACTGGAAATGAGTAAGTGGATTGAGAGCTGGAAGCAGAAATGATAACCCAAGTTGGGACACAAAATAACCAGAGGAAACAGGATTATGAGACCAAGAAATTAAGAGCTTTAGTTTCTACACAAAAATCTGGATAAAAGAATTAGAAAAAAATAATTTACATTGTAACTGTTCATTTCCATGTCTGATGGGTATACTTCAGGATTATGGGCAGGGACACATAAGTATTTATATTAAATGCAGATATACACTTGATGACAGATGAGTAAAAGGTAAAATATAAAGTTGGGGGGGGGGCATTGCTCAAGGCCCAATGAAAATCTAAAACTGTAGCAAAAGCGCTGATATTTAGAAGTCAGCTGATTTTTCAGGTTCTTAAAGAACATAAAATATTTGTATGAGATTTACAAATGACAGCCACAAATACTAAAATACACACACACACACACACACACACGTATGTGATTCACCCCTTACCCACCACCCCAAAAACAGTCAGAAGTTAATATGTACGTTATCATGGTTACATACTAAGATACTGAGATATTAACTTGTTACTAATATATTGCATTTAAGAATAGAATCAAATCCTGCCATCTTCATTTGTCCCAATTAGATATTCATTAGTCAGCTAAAACCCAATTTATTCCTACCTCTCTGAAGAGTGCACCATAAAACTGAACGATGTATGGGCAATCACTACTCCGCATTACTACATCCAAATCCATAAGAAGTTGTTTTTGTTCTTTTTCATCCACCGTTGACCGAATTCTCTGGAAAAGAATGACAAAAGACGTCAAAAAACCAAAATACTTTTGTCAAAAAAACAATAATTTTTAGTCTCATGGTAGAGAAAAACCTCTACCATGAGACTAAGAATTACCAAGCAAGCTTCACAAATACCAGATATGAAAATTACCATCTTTCCTTACACTTCACAAGAATTACTTTTATCACAGAAAGTTTAACAAACAGCACTCAGAAATCCTTTAAAGGAGACAGGGCAATTTAACCATGAGCATTTACTAACAATGTTGGGAGTTATGCAACGAAGTTCTTAGGCAGTAAAAATTAACCCCCATACGCAAATATAAAGAAAATGATAATGAGTTGTAACAGCTTCATATGAATAATTATAGGTAGCTTTATACATACTTTTAATCACCGTTTCAAAATTGTATGGAATCTAGCCATTCAATGCAAGAACATCCCTCTTCACTCACTAGCATCCCCATACCACAGTGTCCTCATTCATAAAGATGGGAAATAGTCCAGAACTGGATAAAGTGAATACTAGTATAGGAGTAGTGCACAGACAAGAATCCAGGTCTCCAAAATCCTAGACTGGGACTCTGTCCTTTAACTGCACTTTCTATACATTAAAAACAAAAAGTTCTACCTGACTCTCCAACCCATGAGTCAGCATGCAGGGCAGCATAAACCTGTGGAAGAAAACCTAAAAATGAGGAAACAGAGGGCTCTTTTTGTCTATTCCTAAGCTGATAAAGCGCTCCTCCATCTACTGCAGACCAGGGATATATTCCTAACCAAGCGGCACAACAATTTCTTTGCACATTTCTAAGAGACTGCCAGAAAACATTAAGTACCCCACCTCCCACCTCTTATTCAGGAACAGTATAGAACACAGAGGTGTTGGGAGGGACAGTTCCCACTGCAATGGAGAGAGAGGAAAGAATCATGTTCAGAAATTATAAAAAATTAATAATAAAATTATAGATTAACATCAAAGCATGCAAACAACTTCTGTTCTCATAAAAAAGTTCACAATGTCACACCACGCCACTGTGTACAATACATAGTATGTACTTACAAGGCAAGTTAGTATCAAAAAATACACAAGGTGGCATTTTGTCTTCCAAAGACTTCGAGGTATCTGTCAATGTTCTTGAAAGGGATGAAGGCAGTCAATTAAATTCTCGAGCCCATTTTACAGAAAAGCCAGAGGCACAAAGAGATACAAAAGATGTATTTCATGTGACATGAGAATAAGCAGTTGTTTAAGGAATAGAAGTAGGTTCTCTCAGTTTCATTTTTGAGGAATTCCATATATTCCAAACAAATTTAATTTTGCTACTTAAAATTTACAGCTTGCTAGCTACAGTATTTCATAAGCAAATAAAATTTATTAACTGTCATCTATGTTATATACAAAGATTTATCTACAACTTTTATATTAAATATCAATACTCAGATAAACAAGGACTAAAGTAAGAATGAAAAATAGAAACAAAATAAGACTAGTTCTATTAATGTTAAGGAAAGTTTCCCTTCTCATTTGGTTATTTTCATAGTTTATGGATTATTAATCTTACTTTTAAATCTACTTCAGCACGTTTGCTCAGAAAGGATATTTTTTAAAAGTCAAAATAGATGTGATCTGTATTTGTACAAAGCATGATGTAATAATTTTTGTAAATATTTTACCTTTATACCTGTTTTTTAAAAAATAACTCTAAAAGTGTAGCTGTGAAAATGCTAATTCAAGAAATTATTTATAAAAGAATCTTAATTATCCTATATATCTAAATTTAAAATAGACGAAGAGTTAATTAGAGACAAGTAGGGAAGAAAAATCAAATAACCCTTTGGTTGGGGAAGATTTCTACCTAATTCTCACTATTAAAAGGTGTTAACAAATGTATTTTTTTCTATTTTTACTAGTATGAATATATTGGCAAATGGAAATACACTAATACACATAAACTACTATTTTAAAAGGTATCTTCTTTACTAATTTTTTGTTTTGCAAAACTGGTTGTGTGGTATGCTAAATATACATTTGTACAAATATTTATATTTCAATTAGAAAGCATATTACAGTCAAAACCTCAATAGTTATCATCAAGAACTGACTTTAGGGAGCGAGCCAGTGTCCAAAAACCCTACTGTTACTACAAAAAGGATATACAGATTACATGATGTAAAGGCCTAACTGAAGTTCCAACATCTTACTGATACCTAACACTGAGACAATCTCTGACAGAACTGTTATTAACCAGAAAGTAGAGAGTTCCCAGCACAGCTCTAACCTTTGAGATCACTGGCAGGAAAACCTATTCAACTGTAAATATTCTTTAATGTCACTTCTAGTACAAAATAGAACATAGAGCAGCTGAATGGCCTACTAGTATAACATGAAGTTGATTGTGCTTTTCAATAGATCAGCACCTCCCCACACTCTCTGAACATTTTGTCGAAGTATCTGGCAGTGGGTAGAAAAGTAGCTGCTGGTATTGCATCTGAATTGTTTGGAATTGAGCAATAACGGCTAACTCTTAATTATACTAATGTTTTAGGGTTGAACTGTAACATTTATCACGTGAGCAATTAATAAACTATTTCAAAAGGCCTAAAGGACCCCAAAAGGGGATTAACTGCAAACACATGCCTCTAACAGCAGTAACTTCAAATTAGTGATTTTAATAACTCAATAAAGAATTCAAGCAGAAGACATAATGACAATCAGCGATTCAAATCAGAGCATACTTAGAGACTACAGCTACTACCAAGAAAGTTTTTCTAACCGACCAGCAGAACAATATCTACGGGAAACACTTCTACATTTGAATCAAATGAGTCCAGGATCTTCTAACATTAAAGGAGCATAATTACCTAAAAATTGGACACATCAATAAGAACAAACTTCCCTTAATAAAGCTGTCCCTAAGAGCACAGAAAAATGGAAGTACAAAGGTGACACCAACTATATGACTTGAAATTCTCATAATCATAATGTTCAGAAGCAACAACCATTGATTAAAAAACCTTGAGTAACAGGAAAATTTCATTTATTTATATAAATTTAAAAGTTAGATAAGGCTGTTTACTTGAGCTCAGCAAACCTTTTTTCCCTGCCAGTAAAAAGTAGAATGAAAACTACAGGAAACCATAAAATACTTAAGAAAATCAACTCAAGAACATTAAGTTTTTTATATTATTTTCAAAATCATTCTTTTTCATTATGGGGTTACTGAGCTCTTTTACTGAACACAACTTTACTAACTTAGCAGTAAGTTATTACATGCCCCCAGGACAAATTAAATTATGTTTCTTGAAAAAAAATCCACATCTCTTTCCCAATAATAAGAAGTATTTTCAGATTATTTCAAGTTTTACTTTATTTGGAATATAACATAAAGAAAACATTGAAAATCAAAACAAAAATTACTACTCTACATATATAAGTAGTTTTCTACAGTAAAGAAATTTATAAATTTGAAGTTAATTTTTTTAACTGGTGTCCAAATCTGTATTCAAGGTTGAGTATAAGCCCAGTAAAGCAGGTAAATGCCAGTAAAAACAGCAGGCAGATACACATCAGAAATGCCAACATCGACTCCAATTGAGAATCACTTAGAGACACAGGAAAAAAGATTACATTTCCAGTTATCTGGCGTTAAGACTATTAACATTATGCATGGTTCTTGTCCAATTAAAAAAAAAATTCCAAAGAACATAATTTTTCTATAACTGCCAGTCCAACTCATGCCATTGGTTGGATCAGCCACAAATTTAGTTGCTGGGAGTTCTGTATGGATTAGGCTGCAGTAATTGAAAGTTAACAAGTCCCACAGGACAAGCTAAAAATTTTCAGTTACAAATGATCCCCTTGCCCTCTACTCCACCTCATCGCAAAACACAGCAACATCCACTTGGTGAACAGTCCCAATCATATAGAAATGTCCCAAATTCCCAGTTGTTGAAAGGTTGCTTTCCTTCTTTTGGTGCAACATGGCACCTAGAAGTCACTGGTATATTTAAATGTTGACAGCTTACAACATCTATTGATCAAAATCTTGAATAATATTTAGCCTCATGTGGAATGCCTCCATTTTTAACAACTTGAATTTAAAGTATAAATAACCTTTTACTGATACTGAAGAACTATGTAAAAGTGGTGCTGTTCCAGGTGTCCTCTAACTTTATACTGAGATCTCCAGGGAAGCTCTCTCTTCACACTGACACAATTCTCCAGCCTTGTATCCAAACCCTACCAAATCCATCTCTCACATATGATTTGTTGGTGCTCACCAGGCATGAATGACTAGCAGTAAAACATCGGTAAGTATGGAAAACTTTAAAGCAGACTATGACACATTGTTATAATGAAAAGGGACTAGAGGAACTAATAAAACTAAACTCACTTAAGGACTGGAGTGGAAGAGTAAAGAAAAAGAAGCAACAAGAGGATGGAGAGAAACAGGCAGTAGATACTGTCAAGGAAAACTAATTGATTCCCTTCTTACTCAGATATTATGCCTCAATCCCATCAAAATGGTGACTTTTTGTTTGTTTCCCTTCATTTTCTAAATTTGTTTTCATGGGTGGGAAGAGACTGGGAGAACAGATAGTGGGAAAGAGCACGATGATGAAGTGATCGCTATTAAGGGGTAAGGTTAGGAAGACTCAAATGTGGCAAAGGAGGGCAGGCTGACAACGCAATGGCTAAGGGTGGAGTTGCAGACGAGGCAAAATAAAGGCTCATGTTGTAGGTCCTAAGAAGCAGGTCACCAAGTAGCATTGTGCCTAGATGCTCAATAAATACCTGGCTGATTCTGATAGTGGTCCTTGCCAGTCACCCTGATTCAGAGTTAGCCCTTACATCTCCATGTTAGGGTGCTCAAAGATATCTCAGTTACTAGAGAAATCAGGCACACACACCTTATCCCAAAGCACCAGGGCCTGCCTTGAAATGACCCATTCTGTGACTGCCTGTGTCCTGATGTGACAACTACTGATTCTTCCAGATCAA